GCCTCCCCCCCCCCTGCCCCTCCCCCTCCCTCTTCTTCTTCCACCGCGTAGCTTGCGGGATCTTAGTTCCCTGATCAGGGATTGAACCCAGGCCTCCGCAGTGGAAGCACCGAGTCCTAACTAATGGACAGCCAGGGAAGTTCCTAAACTCTCTTCCTGACTGAGCCTCAACTTCAGCCTATAAAAACTGCAGCACAAATGATTTAGTCCACCCCCACTACATCTGAAGACCTGAACAAACACTAACACAGTTTCTAATAGCTCAAGGCCACACCGGAGCCTGGCAAATGTGCCTGCCTGAGAAAACTCAAAGCTGCCAGAAGTTACTATTTATTCCATCCAACGCCTCAAAATAGGGCCCTATCTCCCAGTCTGTTTGAGAGGCTAGGAGCCAAACTTCCTTAAGTGCCAGTTAGCAAACCCAGGTAAGTTTCATGTGGACCAGAGCCCTCCACCTTCCCACTTTTTATAGATTTAGCAGGCAATTCCATGTGTAAACCCCGCCATTGCCCCTCCCTGCTCTGTCATTCTCCCTTTTTATTTTTTTTTATTTTTTTGCGGTATGTGGGCCTCTCACTGCCGTGGCCTCTCCCATTGTGGAGCACAGGCTCTGGACCTGCAGGCTCAGCGGCCATGGTCCACGCCGCTCCGCGGCATGTGGGATCCTCCCGGACCGGTGCCCGAACCCGCGTCCATCGGCAGGCGGACTCTCAACCACTGCGCCACCAGGGAAGCCCTCATTCTCCCTTTAAAATGCCTTCTGTACAAATGGAAGTTGAGGTCAGTTTATGCCAGGCCCACTTTCCTACTAGAAAATAGCATATATGAAATAGCATATTACTGATTAATATCTGTTCGTAATACTTTAGTGTCTGTCTTTGTTTATCTGTGACAGCTCCTTACCACTAGGTTATCTATCTAATGCTAATAAGATATAGAATTCCCTGAAATCATTTATCTATTCAGCCATCTTGATTAAAAGAACTCTGTTCCCAGAGTACTTGTCCAATAGGTGATCACAGGTTTGGACCCCAGGTTGCTGGAGTCTGGGACTCCTCCATCTTTCTGCTCTGACGCTCACACACATTGGCGAGGTCAATAGAGGGGAGAGGGCTGTAGCCACAAGGCACCGTGGAGGGCAGTATAAATACCAATCCAGATGTCCCAGAGGGGCTCAACCAATGCTTCAGCCCTGGGCTCGCGCTGGGTTTCCTTGTGACTGCAGAGAGGTGAGCTGCAGCACAGCCCTGGCATCCCCAAGGCATCCCTGGGGAACTCTGAAGTCCCGGGTGGTGACAGACAGGAGCCATCTCTTAGACAACCACTGGGGACTCTAGGATGGGAATGTTGGTGGAGAACGCTGGAGCCTGTTCTTTCAACATCACTCCCAGTGACGTCCTGAAGGGGTCGCATCCAGGCGAGTTGCCTGAAATCTGGTCTCTTACAGCCTCTCTAGGATTATTCTGGAATTATCTGACAGCATCTGAAATCAGGGCTTGGAGGAGCACAGGCAGCTGTGGATGCCAAGACCACAAGTCGCTGCAGGGAGCATGAGGTGGGGGAGAATAGGAAGGGAAGGATGGAAGCCTCTCCAGAGCTGGCATCCTGGATGGAACCCTGAGGCCCGGGGACTGTCACGGGACCGCTGGGGAGGGCTCAGCCCTACAGGAATCTAGCCCCTGATGCCAAGAGACGAGCAGAGGAATGTGTGTTCAATTGTTTGCGGATAGAAAATTGCTGTGAGAAAGAAAAAAAAATCATTAATATGTTATGATCACATTTTGTTCCCTTTCCCAAGGCAGGCTAATAGGAAGGCAGGCCCAGCCACGTAGGGCTGGTGGCAAGATGTTGAGTGTGCCACAGATAAAACTGGTCAGGCACGCTTATCACCACACCAAGCCTGTCCATGCTCAGCGTGCACCCACACCACACGCTGACCCCACTCCAGAGGAGCACAGTGCTGGCGCATCACCACACTAGTTATAGCATTGGCCCACCAGAAATGCCAACTGTCTGCTGAAGGTGGGGAAAAAGCCAGATGAGGACCAGGTTAGATTTCCTTTATCCTTTAGATTCTTGGCTCGTATCTTGTTAAGGCTCTGCCCCCATTCCCCTGGCTTTCCTTCTCTTTTCTTTCTTTTTTATCTTATTTTATTTATTTGTTTGTCTGTTTGTTTATTTATTCATTTATTTATTTGGCTGCCCCATGCAGCATGCGGGATCTTAGTTCCCCGACCAGGGATCAAACCCGTACCTCCTGCAGTGGAAGCATGGAGTCTTAACCACTGGATCGCCGGGGAAGTCCCTCTTTCTTTTTTAATTTTAATTTTAATTTTGTGGGTGGTTCTTTTGGAGCCTTCTGCAGCATTAGGGAACCAGCTCTAATCCTCCTTTATTCCTTCTTCATCTTGGTGAACTTTGGAAAGCAGAAGGATCTTTTAAAAACTCAAATCAAAGCAAGTCACACCGCTATCTAAACTCACATTTGTCACATTTAGAATCAACACCAAACTCCTGACCAAGGCCCCTGAGGCCTCACGAGACCTGACACCTCCCACTCTCTGTGCTCCTCACCCAGACACACTGGGCTGCCCCCCAGGGCCTCTGCATCTGCTGCTCCTTCTTCTGAAGCACGCTTGCCTGTTCATGTCATGCACGTCTGGCTCAAATGCCTCTTCTGGAATGAGTCCCCCC